AAGCCATCGATCACTATGGCAGTAGGCCTACTACTTTAAAAAGGCATGGCTGTAACCAGCTTTGAGGTCACCGAGGTCTGTACCTTCGTAATTATATGTAGACTGTAGCCTATTAATAAAACAAATTTGAATAAAAACCATTGATAACAAGCTCAACTAAAATAAAGGCTTTAGGACCATGTGGATGCAGCTGATTACATAAGGGCGTCACTTTGTGTTGAAAAGTGGTGGGGACATTTAAGGCCTCATATTAGTGGTGTGACCAAACACTTGAGAATGCACAATATTGGAGTCACGTGAGCAAGACAACAAGATACTCCAATGCTATTTTGAAGAAATATTCATTAATGAAATTGGCTACCCCGCAACCCTGTACGCAGGATAAGTGGTTGACGATGGATGGATGGATGAAATTGGCTATTTGATTGGGGTTTAGAGCATTAAACTCTTAATTTCCTGCATTCTAGAGACATTTTCTGCACCAATTTATGGCGAAAATGTCTTTATTTATATGAAGGGAAACAAAATTCATGTGGCCGGTGACAAATTAGAAAATAAGAATATAATGCAGTAATCAGTTGCTTTTTTTTAACCTAAGTTATTTTTGTTGGACAAAGCAGATCTACATTGCATTCCATGCTTTTCTATTGAGCAAGTAGTTGTCATAGAATTTGTATTTGTTATTTAACATTTCTTGTTGCAAGTTAATTTTCAGAAAACTTTTAGTAGATGCTTTCAAAAAGTGATGGGAACAAAATCAGCCATTTCAAAAAGTGGTGGTGAAATGCCACAGTGTAAATGACAACTATGTGATTACACCATCGCAACCTTCATTTCAAGTTGAAAAACTGTTTCCCCATTGATGGTCAGTGTCCAGACCTGGGGAAACACATGAAGCACATGACAACGTTGTGCGCACATTAACTGAGAGCAGCGCTGTTTGCAGGCAGAGTTTTGGGCGTTAAATACGTTTAGGAATTTTCTGGGTGGGTGAATCAGGGTGAAGCGACTCCCCATGAAGAGAGATGAGCAACAGCAGCATAACTTCATATTTAAATCTCCCAACAAGCCGACAGGATCATCAGGATCTAATGTTAAATAATATGCTGTGTTTTTCAACACCAAAAGGTCTCACACACAGTCCGGGTTCATACAGAGACAATGTTTGGAGTAAAGCAGCCGTCCTCCTGATCAATCCTGAGCTCCATTTCAGACGCTAAAATCTGAATTATGTTTCCTCTACAGAGTTTCCTCTGTCTGACCTGTCAAGTTTTTAACTATTTTTTGTTTTGTTTTGCTGCATAAATGTCCCACGATATTAACTGTGAAATGCGCAGAGAGAGAGAGAGAGAGAGAGAGAGAGAGAAGGTGCAGCTCTGCAGAAATACGACTTTTAGTAATAAAAAAAAATCAAAAATCAATATGTGGCAGTCAGTGCTGATATTGAGGTGGGCTGCCACAAATAAATCAATGTATGGGAACACTGTACTGTTCAGCTGCACTATCTGTGACTTCGCTGTCATCTCTGTTTTAAAATCCTTCACCCATGAACCGGGCTGTGGCATCTTCCTCTTCCCGGTCTTAGCGTCTGTGGCCCTGGTACTACAGAACGAGTTGGTTACTTTAAATTTACTTGCATTTCAGTTAAACTCTGCTTTTCCATTTCCTGTTTTAGCTCATTTTCCAGCTGTCAGTGTCACTGTGGTGTGTGAGTGAGATGGATGGGGCGGGGCAAAGGGCTGCGTAGAAGTTCATATGAATAGACCGACAGGCCTGGGGAGAAGGGGGGTTGGCCGACACGCTCAACCTTCTGCCAACTTTTTCATTGTTACTAAAAAAGTATAGGCTAAAGAATGCAGCCCACCGGGATTTGACGCGGTACTCTGGATGGCCAGACTGCTACTGCCCCAGAGAGAATGATGTGCTGCAGTCTGCTCTTGTCCTTGTCAGTGGCAGCAGCGTACCAGCTGGTGACGGAGTAAATGAGGTGATGGCGTTTTAGCACCATGATTGTCCTTGTCAGGTTGAACTCAGCTGCAGCAGAAATGACAACATTGCCCTTGTAACACATTCAACAGGTTTTCATGAAAGTACTGATCATGTTGGTGATGCAGGGGTCTCAGAAACTCATGTAGCAAATATGACACAACTGGTATTATAAATTGTGTGTTCCAAATATGAAAATATCTGGCTTTTCAATTTATATGTTCTCCTGAGATTCAATTGAAATCTGTTTAGTTTGCTAGTGGTACAGATATTTTAAACCGTAATCAATATAAAGCAATGACTGCTGATCACAGGTCGACATCATCCTCCGACCTGCAGGGTTGGAATAAATTCTTTTGCACCGACTCTTGACCGTCTCCAGAGTAGTTTTTGACTGCAAACTTATTGACTATAGCAGAAAGTTAATAGAGTATTTTTTGACAAAGTTTAAAAAGCTGGTGAGGGTGTGGACCAGGCTTTAACTGGCCCAGCCTGGCCGTACATCTGACCCAACAATATAGTGTGAAGTGCTGCATCCAATGATATCAAACACTTTGGGTATATAATGCAATAGACACAGAGAAGCGTCCAGGCTCAAGAGGGGTGGTATAGACAATCGATCGCAGTGCTACTGTGAGTACACTTCTTTCTGCTACATAGCTGAAAGAAGAAGTCAGTTCACAGCAGTTCACAGCCCAACCAGTAAATGAAAAATAGAAGATTGACTGGTTCCTGTTCAAATAATACAAACTCATCATTAACACAAACCTCCCCTCTTTAAAGACTGGGTCATGAGTAGAATCACTTCTTCAAAATTTTCAACAATTTAATGCATTTGAAAATGTGTTTGGCCCTTTCATTTCTGGCCCAAAAAAGCTAAGAACATACATTTCAGTATTCCACATCACAGACAGCAAAAGTGAGAGAAATAAAAGGTCACAGTTTATCATATGTTGCTTTTTTTGTCAGAAAAGTGGCATCTAAATATTGAATTATGCACCCACAGTGTATGCATGAGGGGTGTGTGTTGAAAAGCATGAGTTGGATGGATTTTTCATCATAAGTGTTAGACAGGAGGGTTCCAGGACAACAGTGCACAGTTTAGGACCTCTTCATGTGATTAAAACTCTATTAATGGATTCGTTGGCTGCAGAACAAGTTGATGCCATATCAACTTTATATCTCACATGTTTTGTTTCAACGTGTGAGATATAAGATGATATGACAAATGTGTTAGTGAAGAGCCTGTTTACATATCCAGCTCATATGGAGTCAATATCAGCATTTATCCATCTGGTTCTTTAGCTGCTAAATGCTCCATTATGTTCACCAGCTAGCCACTATCTTCGCCCAAAGAAGAAGCACATTGATCACATGTTTACTCCTTTGATTTTTGTATTGTATACTGTAGCACAGTGCATTGTAGGCTGTATACTGTACAATAAACATACTGTCTGGCCCTGAACATTATGCTTTCCATTTGTTTGTTTGCAGAGGGAACATTCATTCTGGGACAAAGAGACAAAGGCAATGTACAAGCTTTCAAAATTTCTTGTTTAGTATGTTTCAGTAACTTACAGGTATTTGTTTCAGTAACTGGATCTTTTCAGTAACTTAGTTATAGTTTTATTAAACTGCATTATACAAAAACATTCCTGTTTACAGTGTATTATTTGATGCAACACTTATTGTAAAGCTTAATGAACAGTATAAGCTCTAGTGTACTAGACATTCTCTGGAACCCAGTTTGTATTTTGTATCCTACTATAACTTTTGCTAGGAAACAACAAACTTCTCCAAATTCACCCCTGTTATTGGTCATGATGTGAAGTGTACACAAAATTAAATACTTGATAGTAGGCCATCAGCTGTGCATTATGGACAGGGATACATATTTTGGCAGACTGCATGTCCAGCCTGGCAGGACCAGTAGGCTACTAGTATCACTATTTGTGTATGAAAAGTGCTGGGTTTTTTTTGTTTGTTTGTTTTTTTAAAACCTGTCCTGCCCAGCAGCCTGGTATAGAGTATAATGACCTGGATACCATATTGTGCCAGACAGATTTTACTTTAACAAGAGAGTATTAAAATACTCCTTTGTCTGTTTTATTATTTATTTAATTATGTATTGATTTGCCACCGGGCCGGACAGGGGGGCAGACACGGGGATGGGGGGGAACAAACAGACAGCACAGAGAAAGGACAACACCTGTAAGAGAAGGGGGAAAGGGGGATGGAGGGTGGGGACAACAGGGAAAAGCAGTGGGAAACACCAATTGCAGAAAGCAACGAAACCTGCAAGAGAACAGAGAGGGGGGCTTGGGGAGGAGAAAAACAACAACAAACAAACACAAACAATAAAAATAATAATAATAGTAAAAGACAACCAGCCGAACAGCAGCAATGAACAGCTGACATATTAAGACAACTAAGAGAAAAATGAAAACAAGAAACAGTCACACACACTAAATAAGCAACACAGCACAGAATAATAATTAATTTAAATAAGTAACTGAAAGCATCAGGAATAATTCTACCAGGGACAACCTAAATTTGTTTGTGTCTGTGTGCGTGTGGGTGAATGTGTCTGTATGTGTGTGTGTGTACATGTGTGTGCGCATAAGCCTGTTAAAGAATGTAGTTGTTAGAGAGAGTGGGACGCCACGACTGTAACAGGCAGGCAAGAACCCCAGTAGCCAATAGGGGTGGGAGAAAGAAAAAGAATAAATCAAATTAAAAAAAAAACAAAGACCCCCCAGATGCACCGCGATGCAAACGCGGAAGACCCCGACCCAAATGCCAGTTGACAAGGTAGTGCCGACGGAACGCAAAAAGCGTAACCCGCGGAAGAGCAGCGCCCCACCGCTGCGCAGCGAACAACCAAAATGCCCAAATGCCACGCAATCATCAACACCAATGCACAAGACGAGCGCACACTGCGCGAGCACGGCGACACCCAATGCCCAGCAGCCCCCCGCGAATCCCGCGTGCGAGGTCGGGCAAACGAGAGAGAGCAAACGGAACAACACGACAACAAAAGCCTGCGGAGAGAAACACCAGCAGCAAGTCCCAGCCCGGCAGCAAACGCGCCGCACAGGTCACCGTGCACCCGCCAATAAAAGTCCGCTGTCAAAATCATCTGCATGCCAACCACCCACCCGAGGCCAACGAAGCAAAACAGGGACATTATTAAATTGTTATGATAATAATTTACCCTTTAAGGAGGGGTACTGTCAGGGGGCTGCATTCAATTTAATGTATATTTGTCAAGTTTATCTCAAGTCAAGTAGATGTAATGTTGAGATGAGCAATGTGTTAAACTGATTACAGTGATCGTGATTTTACAGTATGGCTGGCGTAGATATTTTCAAACAGTAACATGGATGACTAAGTGGTCAGTTATAACATCGCCAGACTATCGCGAAATAACTGCTTTGCGAGGGAAACTGAAACTGCTCATATTGTTTAGTTCTTCTCAATTCAGTGCAATGAATAATATGAAGTTCAATAACGCATAACATTAACGTTAGCCTATAAAAGCGATAAATATAATCTGTGTGCTAGCTCGCTCTGCAAAAACCTCGTTGATAAAACAACACTAAAACAACAGATGAAACAACCCACATATTATATTTTTCATTTACTTTTGTGAAGTCAAAAGTCCACCTTCACCATTGAATGCACGTGCGCTCCCGCGGCAGAGGGAACACTTTCTATCAGGGATAACTACCCTGGCACGACACCGGACAGTGGCGGTGTAACATCCTAAAGGATCTGACTAGTTGAGACACATTTGTCTCAGCGCCATATCATCACAAGGAAGATATGTTACTATGATTACTGTAGACCAGTGGTCGGCAATAGGCGGCCAGATTGCTTTGATAGCAGAAAAATAAAAAATAAATAAATTGATAGCGGCTGGTGCTGAAATAGATATCAGTCATGACAGATACAGTTACTCACACAATCACTTCCTCTTAAGTGACTTAAGTGATCACGAACCGTTCGCAGCCTGTCAGCACCGGAGAGGGAGTGGGGCAGAGCAGGGACAGGAGATCGCGGAGCGACTGGCCCGCTGCAGTCTGTCAGTGATTGTTTCCTCTGGCGGGATGAAGTCTGATGCTCCGCATTATTCATGATAAGATTAATGCCAATAAATCATGCTGTAAATATTTTAGAGACCCCCAGAATATCACAAATCATGCTTTTAGGGGAGCTGATGTCTTATTAGGGGGAGCTAAGCTCACCCGTAGTTCGCACAATGAGTTTTCTCAGGGAAATGAAAATAAACTCCATAGGTTTATGAATTCTGATCAAACGCCAGGCACACACAAACTGCAGCACGTGCCTTACTGTGAGCATGTGCAAAAGTGTCCTTATAATCAAGTAATAAGGGGAAAACATATACGCAATTAATTGGAATTGATTTTCCTAACGGGAGTCCCGAACAGTACTGAGCTAAACATGCACATGAATATGAAATAATTTGACTCTGTTCTGGTCTGCCATATAATGGCTTGAAAAAAATTTGGCCCAATTCCAGACTTATTTGCTGACCCCTGTTGTACACTTTTCGTTCTGAAACCGCCACAGAACATGATTCTCTCCATAGCTCCAGCCTTACTAATATTCAAATTTTTCACCAACATCCTCAGAATCTCCTTTGGACTGAAAGGCTTCATCACATTAACCTTTATTGTTTTGGATTATGTGGAGTTTATGTTGGAGTCTGTGTTGTGCTGGGACCAGTAGTGTTAGTGGACTGCATGTCGTTAACTGCGGTGTTGTCGCAGTAGTCGGAGAGATGGTAGTTAATGTAGGTAAATGGCAAACCTAAGAATCTTGACGCCAACTGACTGATGCTTTAGGTGTCTCATTCCCACATTTAGACTATGCCATATTTATATTTTAATTTTCTCCATAAATGTCCAGAGTTTGTTCCACAAATGGCTGGGTTACATTTACATAGTCATCTTCATCATCACTGCTTTGGTTTACATTTACATAGTCATCTTCATCATCACTGCTTTGGTTTACATTTACATAGTCATCTTCATCATCACTGCTTTCTTCTTCTTCTCTGTTGTCCTTTACACTGACACAGGCCTCTGTGGCCTTTACAGAATTAGCTTTGGGGTGCATTTCCTCATAATCATGATCTTCACTCTTCTCGCCTTCCTCTCTACCTGCTTCCTCTTTGCGTTTCAGCCTGGTGTGTGCTGGATCAACATTCACATAGTCCTCCTCCTTGCTGCCTCTGACAGTCACTGAAACACAAGCATCAGGATAAAACGTTTCATGAATATCTCAATCAATTCTTTACAACCCTTCAATCACAAACTTTAGATGGAAGTGTATTTCTAGAAAATGTAAAAACTAAACAGTCTTTTCATGTCATGTACTGTTCAATTTAATTCAATTTTATTATATAGTGACAATTCACAACAACCGTTATCTTATTGTGCTTTTCATATAGGGCAGGTCTAACCGTACTCACATCAAACATAACAATACTGATCATATCTAGTAAATGCTCTGGCATTACGGAGGGCCTTCCTATAAGTTTTAAGACTATCTTGCCAGATTAAACAAGGTTCTTCTTATAAATAGTGATCAGTGGTCATAAAAAGGGATTCTGTAGGAACAGTATTAAATGTTCATTTTCAATACGATTTACCAGAATGAGGACGTACTAAATAAAACGTCCATCCATCTTCAACCTCTTATACTGTGTACAGGGTCGTGGGGGTGGGGGGTGCGGCTGGAGCCAATCCCAGCTGGCAATGAGCGAAAGTTGGGGAACACCCTGAACAAGTCGCCAGTCCATCGCAGGGCCACACATAGACAAGCAACCACTCACACTCATACAATTTTTAGTCCCCAATTAACTTAGCCTGCATGTCTTTGGACAGTGGGAGGAAGCCAGAGCACCTTGGATAGAACCCACACAGACATGGAGAGAATATGCAAGGAAAGGCCTGGGACGACCAAGTTTAAAACCCATGACCTTCTTGCTGTGAGGACATAGTGCTAATCACTGCACCACCGTGCCGCCCACCGGTGAACACTCTGACAGAAGCCAACTGAATCTAATTGTGAGATAAACGCAGAACTAAGGTTGTCATTCTCAACGTCCACATGAGTATTAAAATCACCTACAATAAGAACTTTATCTGTTTACGGACTAAACTTGCTAATTCGGATAAAAATTCAGAATATAGACCAGGTTATCGGCACACTATAACAAATAGACCTGGCTGCAGTGTTTTCCAGGTTGGCTTTCAAATAAATTACAATTTAGTTAAGCTTTAGAGTTGATTAGTAGGCTGGAGTTTAAGATAGCTGCACTTCGGCCTGTGCCTCGAGGAAGGTGAGTATTAATATGACTGGGGAAGGTGGATTAATTTATGCTTACATATTCTTCATCACCCCGCCAGGTTTCAGTAAGACAAAGCAGATCAATATGATAATCTGATATTAATTCATTTACTAGTACATCTTTAGATGAGAGAGATCTTTAGAGTCCACATTTAATTCTCCTAGACACCATCACTATGGGGTTTGGGCTAAGTAAACGCTGAGGGTTTTGGGTATGTTACAGCTGAAATGGAAGTGCATTTACATTACATTTATTCATTCAGCTGACACTTTTTATCCAAAACGACTTACAATTGGTACATATGTCAGAGTTCACACGCCTCTGGAGCAACTAGGTGTTAAGTGTCTTGCTCAGGGACACATTGGTCTCTCACACCAAAGGCATTTGTCTTATCCACTGCGCCATCACCTCCAAAGCGCAGAGAAGCATGTAAAACTGCGACTCTGCCTCCTGATTTCAACTCTGGATTGTCAAGGGTTTCTACATGTAAGAGCTGATCCATCCATTGTGGGATGAATACCGTTTCTCCTAATCAGACCAGGTCTTCCCCAGAAAGTCTGCCAGTGATCTTGAAAGTCCACATCGTTTGCTGGACAACACCTTGATATCTGGCGGTGGAAAGTTGACATAAATGTCATCTAAAGCCAACCTTCCAAGATGACGCTGCGTATAGCTGCCTGGGCGTTAGGTGCACTTTGTTTTATTTTGTTTTTGTTTGTAAACATAGTTTTCGGCTTTAATTCCAGGAGGTCATGGTGCGTTCCACTTGACATGGGAAGTCGGAATTTCCAAGTTCCCAGTCGTAACTTTCAACAGGAACGCCCCCTTTAGTCACATTTCCGACTCAGAAAGTCAGGACAACCGCACTACCCCCTACTTTGTGATCCAAGATGGCTGTTCCGTGTATCAACAGTGTGTAAAAGCTGTAGTTTATACTGGTTATTCCCCCCAAAATACTGTTAAAGGGTGTTTGTGCGTAGACTGAAATGTATAGGTGTTTATTCACAAATACATATGTAAGTAAATTAATGAGTGAAAATGTTCTCAGTGCTCTCTCATTGTTCTGATGTTAACAATGTGTGTGTAGATCTGGCTAGAATTAGTAACAATGGCAAATGTTTTTGAATAGTGTACAATTTTTCTGTGACTGACTTTTGAACATAAAGACATACAGTTCACAAATACATATAGACTGGGTGAAATCTCAGAGACATGTCATAGTGTGATGTTAACAATGTGTTTTATTTTTTAGTTTATTTAGATATAGACATATGTTCATGGATGCCCAGAGGACCACTCTATTCTCCGGTTTATTGTTTCAAAAAGCATCAGACCCCACCATGTACTACTTTAATGAAGACTTATCTGTCATGGTCAACCTGATAAAAACCGAGGTCTGAACCGAACTGTGGATTTGGACAGTCATTACATACCTAGGGCTTAACCAGAACTACTGTAGCATTAACTGTGTAGCAGAGAATTAGCTGCTGTAATGAAGGCTCTAGCACATTTAACTGGTTTCAGTTAGAGCAGCCAAATTGGCTACCAACACACAAGCACCGGACACGGAAATGAGCCAATATGCTTACCGCAGCTTGTCAATGTCCAATCTATGTGTCCTGGTGAGCACAGACATTGAGTACAGACAAGGGTTCCAGGCTGCCTGGCTCGTTGTCTTCTCCTGACAACCAGATAGACCCCCACGAAGACCAGTAGGAGCAGCAGCAGACCTACTACTGAGGAGACCAACGGCAACAAAGGCACTAGGAGAGAAAAACAAACTGAAAATTGTGTCCATTTGCTCATTTGCTCAAGTACTAAGTTACAATTCTTTTTTACAGTATACAGTATGTCTATCCTGCATATGTAGCCTAGAGGAAAAAGGAAAATACCATGTGCAAACTAAAGCCACTAGATGGCACTGTGACCTTTCGGGTATCCCCACATTTAGGCATTCCAAAGGAGTACAAAGTACAAAATGTTGGCTTCAGGTGGTGATTCAGTGGTCCGATGTTTACAGATGTGTCCACCTGTTCTGAGTTACTAGTTAGATGAGTGCAAGGCTTGCCCTTTCTGAAAGCTTTGTAAGTTCATCTTGTAGGGATATATAATATATTTGTGTTTGAGAACATTTAGCGCTGTGCATAGTAGCAGAATTAATGTTTGCTTTCATTGAATATAGAGTTGATGGCCGGCCACCACACATACACTTTAGTTAGTTCAAAGGTAAACTGCACCTTTTCAAGTTGATATTAATGAACCAAATGTTTCATGTTGTATCAGGAATGAATGTGTGGTTAGTGTGGTTTTGTTCATTTTCTTTTGTATTAATAGGACAGTTACCGCTACAGATATTCATCCACTGAATTTTTGCACTGAACTGATGTACTAAATGGAGTGACTAACTTACAGTTTGTGAGGACATTGCATATAGCCTAAGATTTAAGTCACTGTATCGTATTATTTTGTATTATACTTAAAGTGAGATTTTCTTTGTTTCAAGAAGTGCATTCCTAGGATCAGATACTGCGCAGAACCCTCAAACTCCCCTGGTAGAGAATCCAAGCTTGAGGGTGTCACATACCACCCCATGAGGGGGGATTTTGGAATAAGGTTATTTTAGTGACAAATAACATTAATATACAAATCTACTTTGCCTTCATATCTGTATGTTCTTCACTACAATGGCAAAGTTTCTCCAAAAATCACTTGAAGTAGCCCGTTCTTTTTCCCAGTACACCAAATACAGAAGCTTTGTCATGCTGCTCATATTCTAATACAGATGTGCCCTTGTCCTTGCCCTTGTGAAACCAAGTCAGTGTTGAGTTATTTTAACTTGAGTACTAATTTCAACTCCATTTTTGTTACCTAAACTTAACCAAGTAGTGTTGTTGCATAAACCTAATCAAACTGTGACCGTTAACTACTTGTTAGAGAGGCTTCTGGCAGAAACGCACTCCCACGCCAGCAACCACCACCGATTTCCATGGAACATTAGAACATGGTTGCCCACCTGAAAAATATAGTTACACCGAAACTGAGGGCTGAAAAAAGCTGTTGCTGATTTACAAACTGATATGACTAAAGTTTAAAAAGAGGAAATGTCTCTAAACTAGTTACACAACCAAATAATTTCAAGGGAATCAACCAGGAGAACAATGAAATCCCAGAGTACTGTAAAAGGGGGATGTGGGGAGACAACCACGCGAACAACAGTAGTACCGTTTATTTGCTAAAATCACTGAATTGACCCTGCCTTTACTTGGGACAGGCTTTTAATTCCTCTCGCACAAAAATGAAATAGGTGATATAGGTGATAGGTTTGAAACACTTTATTTATTTTCAACAGAATGTTACTTGTATAAAAATTATTAAATAATATCCAATACACTGCTCATTAATTTAATTCATTTTTATGAAAAGGAATATAAATAATCAAGGAACGGACACATTCGGACTAAACTAGCGCTTCAAAGGTAACGAGTCTGCACCTTTTTTGTTCCAGTAAATCTATATGAATAAGACTTTGCGGCTTGTAGTTCCCCTTAAATGAACTGAACGATTGAATTGTGGAGAATCTAACCAATCTAATGATGTGTAGCATGTTCATGCTGACTGATGATAAGTTTAAACATTAATATTTGTATTAACAATCTAAACAGCTTAGAAGCAGCTAAAGTGGGCGACCCGGCGGGGTTTAAGATATTTATACATCCAAAGAACATACCAGGCCAGTAGAAGAGGCAGGCGCCTATTTGGGACTCGGCTATTAATTGAAGTTTTACTGTAAGCAACACACATAAGAGAACAACTGAGGGAGAATGAAAAGGAGAAATAGTCAATCCAAATAAATAAACAACACAGCACAGCCATGAGAAGGGAAATAACAATTAATATAAATAAATAACTTAATGGAAAGCATAAAGACTAACACAACTACAAGTAGACAACCATGGATAGCCTAAATTTGGGTGTATGTGTTTATGTGTGTGTATAAGCCTGTCACGGAATGTAGTTGTTAGTGAGAGTGGGATGCCACAACAGCGCTGCATAGACCCCAGCGGTAGGCAGGCAAGAACCCAAGCAGCCAGGACAACCTGTAACCCCTCAGCAAAAATAGACACCAATTAGAGTAGAAAAGTTTCAATGGAGACGGTCAGAGATCATCGCAAAATAGCACCCATTCTCTTACCAAAACAGAGACCCGAGTTGACATGACGGCATGTAACAACTTATATTCAACTTATTTTGAAAAAAGTTATGTACGCTGGTTTTCACGCACACGTGGGATGTGTAAAAATGAATGTGACGTGAGAATGTGCAGGCCATGGCGCAAACTCTTGAGCTGCGGTGAGAATGTGCGCACCCTCCACAAACTTGTCTGTCTCTGTCAGTGAACTCCAAAGTGCCAAAACTCACCAAATGTTTCAAAATAGCATTTCCACTCCTGTTACTGTTCATATGTCAATGAAGCAGTCAATCAAAATAAAAGTTGGATCATGTACGTAGTGGTTTAATATCAAAACAAAATTGAATGTGAGGGGAATAGATAATGATACCTCTAACATATTTAATTTCACTTCATATCACACGTTATCACTTTAACATTTAAACCTTCAAACCCAGCAGTGTTATTTGTGCTTGCGCTACCAAGCCATAAGTATCTTCACTATCAAATCAACGTTCGCTAAATATTTCATCAGCCCCCCTGGAACCCAGAGCGGAGAGGGTCAGAGTGTAGCCACAGACACTTATGGTCAGTTGTGAACCTGCCAGCCTAAAGCCAGGATTATATCAGGTGGCAGGATGCAGGATCGCTTGAGTCCTCTTCAGACTTTAACTCTGCTAACTGATGGAATTATCACCATTGTACAAATCCGAGCTAACATCAAATAGCATTAAAGAGTTGCAGAACAGAGTGTCAGTAGTTTTTAATCACATCCTCTGTGCATGCGGAGGTTTTTGACCGCTTCCTGGTTAAAAACTTCCGCTTCCTGACATAGGATCATGAAGGAGGTTGTGATCAGACGCTCCGGAGGCCGTCTCTACCCTGCACCGGCGGGTAGCCCTTCTCTCAGGTCTGTTACTGCTACTCCAACACAACACTCGGCAGCTCACACACTCCATCCTCAGTCCGCACACAGTGTTGAAGCAGATTCTGCTCAGTCCTGCTCTGGAACCCCACAACTGGCATCTCCTCGTCCTCTTTTCTCCCCAACCACACTAATAATTGGTGACTCCATAACCAGAAACATCCGTTTCTTTAACGCTACCACTCACTGCTTCCCCGGTGCCACCACGGCTGACATTTAAAAAAAACTCCAGGTCCTGATGGCGTCGCTCCTGTCCTCCATCTCAAGATAGTCCATGTGGGAACAAATGACACAGCTCTTCAGCAGTCTGAGCTGACAAAATCAGATTTTAACCGTCTTTTTAACTTTTTAAAGCAGTGTGGAAAGTCCGTTTTTATCTCTGGTCCCATTCTCACAGTTGGTCGCGGTGCTGGCCGCTTCAGTAGACTCCTTGGCCTCCACGACTGGCTCCAGTCCGCCTGCAGGGCTCACCGTGTGTCTTATGTGGATAATTTTAATATTTTCTGGCAAAGAATGTCTGTTTTTAAGACGGACGGACTTCACCCAAACAAACGGGGCTCAGAAATGTTAGCTGCGCACATATAGCATGTGGTGCGGTCCACACGTGACTTACGTGAATGACTAATCATTCATGCAGCACACCTGGACGCACCACCGCTCACTGAACAGATCTCTGGCTCACTGCCACAAACAACTGTCTCCACCTGCTGGCATTTAAAGCCGTCTGCTACCAGCGCTGTTCCAAAGACTTCTATTCCTGTCATCATCACGCATAGACCAGTAAACCGAAACGTGCACATCCCACACAGAAATAATAGTAATCTTATAAGGATTAGGACAACTGCACCAACTCCAGCACCCAGAACAAACTCATTTAAAATGGCTCTCTTCAATGTGAGATCACTTTCAAGTAAGACTTTTATCTTAAATGATTTTATCTTGTCTGCAAATCTAGATTTTATGTTTTTAACTGAATCCTGGTTGCAAATGAATGACTATAGCCAGCTAGCTGAACTGTGTCCGCCTCAATATGATTGTTTTAGTCAACCGAGGGTCAGTGGTCGTGGTGGTGGGTTATTGAGCGTGTATAGGGAAAATTTAAAATGTCATCAAGTACGCTGTGATGAATTGAACTCCTCCTAAGTTGGAGGGCTGCAAACTATCATATTTGTTATAATTTATCGCTCCCCAAAACCGCCTGGGGGATATTTATCAGAACTTCAGAACAAATTTTTAACTACTCTGGTTTTAAATTATGACAGAATTGTTCTTCGTCAGATTTTAATATTCATGTTGATGACCCCAACAATGTTAATGCAACTGACTTTTTAAATATGGCCACTTGCGTGAACCCACTTTTAAAGAAACCTGGTTTAGATCCCTCCCTCCCACATAATTTTAGACCAATTTCAAAACTGCCTTTTATTGCAAAGATTCTAGAAAGAATTGTGTCCAAACAGCTGCTCACTGTACTGGAAAATAACAAAATATTTGAAAAGTTTCAGTCTGGTTTTAGGAAGTACCACAGCACTGAGACTGCCCTGCTTAAAGTCACCAATGACCTTTTAATGTCTGCTAATGAAGGCATGTGCTCAGTCCTGGTACTCCTGGACCTTAGCGCTGCTTTTGACACCATTGATCACAACATCATGTTAGACAGACTGAGGCAC